CTCTGTAATAATATATATTCTGTCCCTCCCCTTATTTTTTGTTCTGTAAAGGCAAGGCCATAAGGAAATAAAAGTACTTCACTTAGTTATCTACATAATTTAATTTTTATTCTTAAAGGACTATCGACGTTAGAGGCCATCCACTTAAAGAGCTCCTTTCCAAATTACCAACTTTTTTTGAAGATATTCTTGTTTTTATCTCTAAAATTTGTTTCCAAACGATTATATCTTCCTCATTTCTGCTCTAATGAAGATTTTAAGGATTTATATAATCTTCTGATATTACATTTATTCCAACCAATCAATGAAAGAAAGGTTTAGAAATTATGGATAAACATTAGACATTTAAAGCACAAATTTGACTTGCGAATCTCTATTTTCGAGAGCATTAGAGAAATTGTTAGAATTAAACACTTTTCCCAGCTATGAAAAACCACAATGTATTCCAAACTATTTATCAGATAGAGGTTTCAAGGGTACCGTTATGAATCATACAAGTTTAGGTGTAGTTGTTTAATCCCCAGCTAATTAACCAAAAAGTAACGTTAATATATTTTTATTATTTCTGAAAACTCCCCCCGGTTGGAAGTTGGCTCCCACGATTATATGAAGTCCATCAGATTTTAAGATTTTATTTCAAAAAAGCATATTACCCCAAAAAGGCCCACACAAGATTTTCAGGGATTAATAGGACCATAAAAATAAAATGATAAAAAAAATCACAAGATAAAAATTTAAAATTTAAAATTTGAAAAAAAATTTCAAGTAAGTTTTTGATGATTGCGAATTTTTTTCCCCTGTCTTTTGCAAAATTAGACGTTTTACCAAACCACACAACACTTCATTTTCGCATTCCTGCCAAAATGAAGATTGAGTTTTAAATTCCATAATTTTGCAAACCACCAGTATTGGGTCTATAATAAACTACCTAGTCCACTACTTTTAAACTACCCTTCCTTCACAACCAAGAAAATTAAAACATATTTTTTACNCCCCCCCCCCATCTCTACCACATGTCAGAAGAAAAGGGTTTGAATTACAGGGTTAACTAAAGCATACATGTCAAACCTAGTTTCCTTTACAAACAAGATTTCAATTATTTTCCTAATAGTGTTTCATAAAAAGGTTGAAAATAGGTCATTTTTTGTTGAAAAATAAAAACCTACGTTAGAATCATTTTGATAAACTTTCAAATTGAGTTAGGACCATAAGAGTTGTAAAATAAAATCTGTTATTTTTAACAAATAGAAAATTTTAAATATGCCAAAATAAATAATAAAAATGTAGTTTATAGAATCGGCTGAAAAATTATCTTTCTAGAGAGGAGTTTAAGACTCACTAATTAATACAATATATATTTGCAACTAGATGGTGTACAACTTTGATATTTCAAACTTAGACTATTATTCTATCATATATAAAGCAGATGTTTTATAGAGAAATGCCTGAACTGCATCCATGCGGCTGAGCTATATTGATGTAACATAAATAAGAAGTGTTCAATTTCTTTTTATAAAACGTTTGTTAAGAATAAACTGATTAACTGTCTAACTTTAAATCGGCTTGTAAACTGCTAATTCAGATATTAGCTGATTCTATGTTATTAATGGGATTGTATAAAGTAATCAGATCAGATTAAAATGTTGCTAATTAATCAGATTGCAGTAAACTCAACGGACTATTGATAAAATCAAAACAATTCGAAAAAAGAATAGAAGTTGTGACACCGCCGTTTTTCCCCTTGTATCATGGATGATGATGGTTAGCGTTATACAAGAATCTTGAAACCAGGTTTCAGAGAAGATATATACGTTTACGGAAGCATCAGTGATTCTTTTATCTACAATCTACATTCTAGATATATTTATACCAAAGTACAGGGCTACCCACAAAGGATGAGACTGTCAAGAGATGACTTGAAACCCTTCAAAAATTACAATCCCAGGGTTAAATTAAGTCTTCTCTCTTGAATAAAGTCTTTAACTGGGTTATTTAATGTTTTCACAAAGAAAGAAAGAAGTTTAAAGTTACAGAGAGGTTAAATATAAGGAAAAAGACAATATAAACTCCGTGCAGTCCCTATACTGTGAGTTTTATTAGAATGGCAAACGATTATCACTAGTTACCGTAATCCTAGGATTTTTCAAAATGTGGTCTGCTTTTCTTCATTCAAAGTTTGCTTAATTAATAAATAATCTGTCCATAATCTTTCATTACCTATCAAAGATAAACATGTGTACTATGTGAGAGTACACTCTGTAATAATATATATTCTGTGTTTCTTTGATATTGTGGTGAGGTTACTGTGAGTGCGAACTCTGTAGTTCTATATTCTCTGTGTTCCCTGGATTCTGTGATGAGGTTGACATTGGAATTTAATTTCCTGTCTTTGCAGAACCCAGAGATTACACAGATTGAACAGCAGAGGTAAGTGTTGATTTAAATCCCATCAATTACACAGATAGAACAACAGAGGTAGTTGTTGATTTGAATCCCATAGATCATTCAGATAGAACAACAAAGGAAGAGGGGGAACATTACCGTCTAGCCCCCCCCCCC